TTACTTAGCCCACATTGGCTCAATTTGGTGATCCACCTGTCTCAGCTTCTGAGTGCTGGGATCACAGGCACATACTGGTTTATCATTGATTCCAATGTGTGTATGAATGTGTCTGTGAGGTAGGGCCCTCAAACGGAAAAGAAGCCCCTTATGAAGGAGTGAATTCTGTGTGTTTCCACTACAGAAAGCCCCCAAGTCAGGCTGGCTTTGGTGGTGGTGCTGGAGTCAGGTTCTGACTGCCTTTGGGGATGTGAATGGGCTGCTGGGGCTGCAGAGGCTCTAGTGATATTCTGGTTAGACTGAGTGAGACGCTGTGCTTCATGTGTTTGCATTACATCTTAATGATGAAAGGTAAACTACTTAGAAGTTTATGTGTTTACGGTTATAATCACGTTGCTGGAGAGATGGGCTCCGTAGGAAAGAGCGCAAGCGAGACCTAGTTTGGATCTTTGGTACCTACACAAAAAACTGTGTGGACTCAAGTGCTTGTGACCCCAGCAATGTGGCAGATGGCAACTGGATGGCCAGCAGGACGTGCCACCTGGAAACCAGCAAGCCCCAGGTTTGGAGACAGACCGTCTCCGTGGAGGAAGCTGGACTCACAGAGGAGGACACACAGCATCTTCATCCGGCCTCTGCACAAGTATGCACCCCACTCTGGTGCTCACACTCCCCCCAGCAAACACGCAGTCTTTAGAAGCATCAGGACATGGTTATCTTAAATGAGACAAGCTGTTGGAGTATAAAGGTGCCTCAGAAAAATGGAAGATACCTCACCTTTCTGTTCTTGGCTCAGTTTCTCCCTTGTACTTGTCATTTACTTGTGGGAATCTGTTCTTAAGATAAAAATAATATAGTATGTCATAAGCCTTTGCTGTATTCACACCTGTAGTTATTTTATTCTCATAGGCATTTTAAGACATCAAAAATAACTGAGCTTAGAATCCTGTATATAACCATCTGTTTCTCATTATTGTTTGAGGCAGACTCTCTAAGTAGCTGAGGCTGGTTTCAAGTCTCTGACTGCTGAATTATAGGCATGGGACACTGCATCTGGGTTATGCGGTGCTGGAGACAGAACCCAGAGCCTCCTCCATGCTGGGCAAGCACTCTACCAACTGAACTACACCTCAACCTGTGTGTGTGTGTGTGTGTGTGTGTGTGTGTGTGTGTTTTAAGATTTTTTTTGTCTGTGCACCACCCATGTGCCTGGGCCCTCAAAGGCTAGAAGAGGGCTTGAGATCTCCTGGAACTGTCACTGTGAGTTCTGGGTGGGGATTCAACCCTCTGGAAGAGCAGCCAGTGATGCTCCTAACAGTTAACCAGTGAGGTATCATATTCCCGGGCCCCCATTATTTCTTTATATCTAGAAGAAACATGAAACATGTAAGTTATTAGCAGACTTTTTTTTTGAGACAGGGTTTCTCTGTATTGTTTTGGAGGCTTTTGGAGGCTTGTCCTGGAACTCACTCTGCAGACCAGGCTGGCCTCAAACTCACAGAGATCCGTCTGCCTCTGCCTCCTGAGTGCCAACATCTGGCTTTCAGCAGACTTTTTAAAAAGGGAAATAGAAGATTTGCTTTTTAAAATTTTTATTTTTATTTTTGGAGACAAATTCTCACTATGTAAGACCTCAGAGACATCTGCCTGTCTCTTCTTGAGTGCTGGAATTAAAGGTGTGCGGCCACCATGCCTGGCTTACTTCTGTCCTTTAAATAGTGCTCAAGGGTGTGTGTTTAATAGTAAAAATGGATCACAGGTTTTAGTTCAGGAAGATAAAGTTTCAAGAAGAATTAAGCAATGGGACTTAGAAGATATTTTATTTTCTGGAACAGGGTAGTCTCATTGTTTTTTGTTTTGTTTGTTTGTTTTTTTCTTTTTCCTGGTGCTAACTAATGGGTAAAACAAGCCAAAGCTCTGATGGTTTTCATCCCTCAACTTTTATTTAACAGTTACCTAGGTAACAGAAACTCAACTTGTGCTGTTTTCCTGCTTCCTTTCTTTCTTCTTACACTAAGCTGTTAATTTTAAAATAAAATGTATTTTTCAGTCTTTTCTTTAGAGATTAATATGTTGTGGTTTATAAGGATTTTCTTCACTGAGTTTGTGGTTCCTTTTTTCTAACTGGAAAAGAACTAATGGCTGTCTTCTTTTCAGTCCCCTGAGAGGACCTAGGGCTTGGTACATGTTAGGCAAGTGCTGGACCCTTGAGCTCTGGCCCCAGCATCAAACTGGGAATGAAGTAGAAGCCACAGAACATAACTTTGTGAGGTGCACTGTCCCCTAAAGAATAGTCAGAGTTGCTATAAATATGACAGTAGATCTGAGGACCATGTCAGTTGCTGAGGTAGTGACTTTACTAATATATTTTGCTTTCCAAAGCCAAAGGCCTTTGACTCATGCTGTCTGAAGTATGCAGTCTCCTTCCTTTGCTCCCCCAGATCATCCTAATTGCATTCTCAGATTTTTAAATTGTATTTGTCCTTTGTACATAAATACACAAACTATTTGGAAATAAACTTCCCTTGGAGGCTGATTGGTACAGTGCTTATGCATGATGCCCGTGCCCTCAGGAGGTCATGGGGCTTGAAAAGGTACCCAGAAATTAGGGAGTTTCCGAGAAACCAGACCCATTACATTCATCCTCAACTTGGAGATGGTATAGCCTTCACCCTTTTGTAAATGGCTTTGAAGAGTAGACCAGGGGACGTGCAAACAATCTGAAAATTTGATGTTTATTTTTCTCTAAAAATATAAACTGTGAGTTAGTCTTTTGCAGACAATTAAGAGCTCGCATCCCAGGCTTTGGTTACTGTTCTGAGCTGCTGATTAGGTCTTCCTGGTGGTGATTACTGAAAGCACAAATGCAATCATTTGCTGCGGCTTAATCACTCACGTGTTTGGGAAGTTAGTTATCCAGAAGGAGAAATTGAAGCTTGTGTAACTTCCATTAGCCTTATTTTTAATAGCAAAAAAAAATTAACGACAGAAAAAGTGAGAAAAGGAGGAGAAATTATGACTAAATCAAGAATACTGGGTCATACAGGATACAGTGGTTGAAGAGAGGTGCGGAACCCGGCAAATACACTGTGGTGAGCAGACAGGTTCCGCAGTAGAGGGAGCAGATGAAGCCCGAGGCTTCCTCAGGGACTAGGACAGACGAAGACTGGCTCTTTCATTGGGCACGTTCTTCCTTTGAGCTGGTGCCTGACCCTCACTATCACAAACTGAAAGGACGTGCTATAAAATGTTCCTTGACACAGTCTAAAAACTCTGCTGCTCAATGAGTGTGTATGTTTGTATGTATGCACTCGTGTGCCCTCCATCCACAAAGCCCACTAGTACAGGGAGGTGTTGCAAAGTTCATGAGTGTTGTAAAGAGGTATTTGGAGTGAGTATGCATGCATGTGTGCGTGTGTGCGTGCGTGCGTGTGTGATTTATATGTACTCATGCAGCCAGGAGGTGGGGAATTATTAGGGTGAAGGAAGGATTGGTGATACAGGATGACTCCGGATGAAAGGAGACTCTGGAACAGGAGAGGATGCTGAAGACAGGATGAGAAGAAGGGATGAGGGCAGTGGCAAGTGTTTGGAAATGAAGGGTGGATCTGCAGAAAGTACCACTGTCGTGTGGCTTTAAACGTCACCACAGATGTCTGACCCAGCTCTCGAACCAAAGATCCATGAAACGTTTTTTCTGGTAGCTTCCACCTTCTTATTCCAGTGTAATGGCAATTGGCTATTGGTTTTTTTGTTTGTTTGTTTTTTGTTTTTTGAGACAGGGTTTCTCTGTGAAGCTGTGGCTGTCCTGGAACTCACTTTGTAGACCAAGCTGGCCTCATACTCAGAGAGATCAGAGATCCACCTGCCTCTGCCTCCCTCCACCCCGCAAGGGCCGGGATTAAAGATTTGCACCACCACAACCTGATGGCTGAAAACTGGCTATTTTAAGAGTTAAGCAGAAACTCAAATGTAGGTACTTGAAGAAATTTACTGACAGTACAGTTTTGGCAGTTTCAGGAAAACGTAATGCAAAACTTACTTTTAAATTAAATTATTATTTTATTGGATTTGTATATATTTAATATTGCAACTTCAGTTTTATGAATCTTACATGAATTAGTTTTGTTCTAAGCTCATATAACTTCATTGGAACATCTCAGGAATTATATATATGTGCATATACATATATATAATTATATAAATAATAAAGGTATGTGTGTATACATACACACATATATATGCAGAAAGCTTATAATTCCAAGTCATTCCTTGTTTCTTGTTTGTTTGTTGGATGTCAGAACCATTTCTCCAAAATGTTTATGACTTTTTTTAAACAACAAAACATGACAAAATAAAGTATAAGATAAAACAAAAACCATTGCTTCAAAGTTGGACAAGGCAAACCAACAAAAGAAAAAGAGGCCAAAAGAAATCACAAGAATCAGAGACTGGCTGGTTCACATACTCGGAATCCCAGAAGTAGACTGGAAGCTATAACATATGTGTGGGGACCCGTGCAGGCCCTGTGCTTGCTGCCCCAGTCTCTGGGAGTTCACAGGAGCTCTGCTCAGTTGGTGTAGAGGCCGTGTTCTCCTGGTGCCTCTGGCTCTAACACCCTTTCTGCCACTCTTCTGCAGGGTTCCCTGAGCCCTGGGAGGGGGGATTCTGATGGAGACATCTCATTTAGGGCTGAGTGTTCCGAGAACTCTAATGTTTGGCTGCTGTTGGAGGAAGCATTTCTGATGATAGCTGAATAAGGCACTGATCTATGAGCATAGGAGAATGTCATTAGGAGTCATTTTATCACTGTCGTATTTATTATTGTTGTTGTTATTATAGGCCAGCAGTATTTGGTTTTACTCTCGGTCCCCTGGGCTATCTTGTCTATGGTTCTTGGTCACCCAAGCAGTGTTGGGTATGGCTTCCATCTCATGGAGTAGGTCTTAAGTCAAATCTATTATTTGTTTTAAAAGGTGTTTTCTATGTTTGTACTATAGGAATATTGCAATACGGTCCAGCTAGATTCTGGGATAGATTATCGGAAAAGGGAACTCACTCCTGCAGGAAAACTCTACTACCTGTAAGTGTTTTCTATGTGTATGTGTTTAATTTTCCAAGCTTATAATTTAATAACTTATCAGGAAAGGATTAAGAAAATCAGAACCTGAAAAACTACTTCTGAATTTCATAATTCTTAAACAAAATGTTATGATGTTAACTTCTTTATACTGCCTTAGCTATCCATATTCGCATCGTTTCTAATGTGTGATTGGGTGAAATCCTAATTAGGTTTTTGGGGAGGAGATGACAGATGGTTAGGAAGTAATGAGTGTCCCCTCAAAAGAGGCTGTGATATTAAGAGAGTATCTTCGATGTGCTAAAGGAATTAATTATTTGTGGACATCTTCCATCTCCGTCCCCCCAAATTGTTGCTATATTTCGTCAGACAATCTGTCTGTATTTGCTGTTGTTGACTGACTCCCTTGCAGAACTGATGTAAAATGTATCCCATATGCAAATGAAACCAGGGTATCTCCTGAAGTTTTTTAGAAGCTTCTCCTGTGTAGGAGCAATTTATAATAATAGATGTATTCAGCACATGCAGCCAACGCTGAGAAAACAATACGGTGTGTGTGAAAATGTCACTTGTGAGAACCCCGGGAAGGAAAAAGTGCTCTGTAGATGCAACTGTTGTCTGTGTCTGCCGACCGTGTTCTTTCAGCATGTGTGGGCTCTCAGGGACTGCATCATGGGCCTAAGTGTAATTTAACTAAAAGGCATGTTGCTGGTAATTTAAATTTTGATGACAACGTGCATATGAGAGGTTGAGGAAACTTCTTGTCTTTGCCGCCTTGTAAGCAGAAGTACTTACTGTTTTTGAAGCAGAAATTAGCCAGGAAAATCACATAATTAAAATTGCATACTTTACAACATCCCAAAGGGACTGTTGCGCCTTATATTCAGATTCCCACAATTGTTACAGAAGCGTCTTGTCTCCCCGTAAGTACTTAGTCTCTAAAGTACTTTATAATTTAAAACAATTCTCCCAACACCATTGTCTGTTTTTGCCTGGGTGCTTTTTTTCCCAGATTATTTTATCTGGAGGATTCCTGGGTCTTTCATTTTTCTGACTTGTTACCTATTTCTTGTTGTTTCAGATATGCAGTATTTATCAATAAATAGCTATTTCTTTTATTCTTTTTTCAAAGGGAGCAGTTCTTATTTCCTGTTTTTAGGTAAAGAACACAATTATGGAAGAATTAAAATATTTCTTAGTGAGGAATTTCTTTCTCTTTCCTTCTATCTTTGTTTTTTCCTTTTTTTTTTTTTTTTTTTTTTTTTTTGAGACAGGGTTTCTCTGTGTAGCTCTGGCTGTCTGGGAGCTCACTTTGTAGACCAGGCTGGCTGTGAACTCACAGAGACCCGCCTGCCTCTTATTAAATGTGTGTGCCCACCACCAGGCTTGTGAGGAATTTCTTAAGTGAAGAAGATGGACTGGGGCATGGGTCAGTCAGCGAAGTGCTCACTGTGCAGGCAGGTTCCCAAAGCTGGGTGAGGCAGCGTGCATTTATTAACCCAGAGCTAGGGAGGTAGAGACGGCGCCCTCTGTGCTCACTGGCCAGCCAGTGTAGTTGAGTTAAAGTTCTAGGTTCAGTGAAAGACCCATCCTCAAAAAACATGGAGGAGAGCAATGATTGACGAAGTCACCAGACACTGACCTCTGGTTTACACACACACACACACACACACACACACACACACACACACACACAGAGTACATACACATGCACATGTGCACATGTACACGCACCACATACATGTTTGAATGCACACAAACACAGACACAAACAGGCGCACACACTGCACACACCACACACACACATACACACATGTGCTCACACACACACACACATACATGCACGCATGCAGGCACACACAGCACATGCTCACATCTGCATTATGAAGTCTCTGTCATGGTGCTAACCCAGTCTCAGTAGAGTTTCTTGTGGTGAAAAAGCTGCTTTTGCTGAGAACATAGACATTTTCTTTTCTCTGACCTTACCCTGGGGTATCCAGTGCTCTTCCTGATAAAACCAGGTGATTTTATTTTATTTTTAAACTTAATTACATTTATTTATTTTCTTGTGTGTGTGTGTGTTCATACACACACTTCCATGCATTCATACATGCATCCCATGGCACATGTGTAGAGGTCAGAGGCAGCTTGTGGGAGGCAGCTCTCTTATTCCTGTGTGGGTTCTGGGGACCAAACTCAGGTCATCAGCGTTTAAAGCAAGCACCTCTTAGCCTCTCAGCCATCTTGTCTGCCCACAAAGCAAGGCAGTTCCAGCACAGGGAACCTAGTTCCATTCCTAAGACATGCAGTAGGAGAACACAGACTCATGAAGCACCTCAGTGTCCAGGGAACCATGAAATACGGCAGCACAGGAGGCTCAGGGTGCACCCCGTATCCTCTTGCATGAGCCCTTGGGTAGAAGTAAGAGAAAAGTTCTTCATGGCAGAGAAAAAGAAGAATCCCCTTAGGTCTGCTTTAATTGGATTTCTTTGCTCTTTCTTTTATGGTATGGGAGATTGAACCTAAGATTCCACAGACACTGGGCAAACACTATTCCTCTAAACTGTCCCCCAAGCTCTGTTATTTACTTTCTATTTATAGTTTTAAAAGCTTTACTTTTGTTATTTTAAATTATGTGTATGGATTTGTGCTGGAGGTGGGTATAGGCGTGTGAATACAGGTACCCTGTAGGCCAGAGGTATCAGATCCCCTGGGGCTGGAGTCATAGTGGTTGTGAGCTGCCTGAAATGGGTGCTAGGCACCACATTCAGGTCCTCTGCTACGGCAGCGCATGCTCTGAGCACTCAGCATCCCTCCAGCTCCTACGCTTTTTGTTCTGAGACTCCCATTCAGTGGTTGGGCCTTGGAGTCCCTCTGAGACCAAGCAGGTCTTGAACTTGCAAACTTACTACCTCAGCCTTCTGAGTAGCTGAGCTTACTGGCCAGTGCCCCCAAGCCCAGTTTATCTCACATTTATAGAAAAAGTTTCTACATTCTCCCTTGTGTTATTCTTTTGCCCTGTTAAAATATGTTTTTCATTATTACTCTACAGGTAAAATCTGGAATCTGTTTCTGAATATGTGGATCCAGACCACTCCCTTGTCAATTTTACTAGAGTTCAAATGTCTGCAAAACAGAAGCTTCTCTCTAGGGGGCATCAACTACTGTTGGATTTCTTTACAAACAGAATCCCATACACGATCTTTAATTAAATAGAAATATTCAGATGAGGTGGGTGCATTCAGGGTGGTGGGACTGATACTAGAAATATCCATTAACTCTGCACTTCATGTTTGCAAAGAATGGAAATGTTCCAAGCTAGAACCTGAATAATACTAAAAATCACCAGAGATCTCATCCAAACAACCTGCTTAGCTGACATGGAATAATGTCTGTCATTCAGAATATTGTCTGCTTCCTCAGAACTGTTCACACAGGCATTGCCTGTTTCTGCAGTCCTGTCGAGTTACAAGTCTTGGGGTATGGTATTTGTTTATTTGTGCGTATGTGTGTTCAGTGTGTGAGTGTCCATGTGTGAAGGTGTGCTTGTGCCACAACACATGTGGAGGTCAGGGGACTGTCGTGGCTATCAGCTCTTGCCTTTTGCTTTGTTTCAGTCGCGGTCATGTTTGTTTCTGTGCTGCATACCCCAGGCAAGCTGGATTCTCCCAAATGCACCTCCCGTGTTGCTATAGGAATACTGGAATTATAGGCACATACCCTCATATCCTTTCACACTAGGTTCCAGGGGTCCAAACTCAGGCATCATGCTTGTGCAGCAAATCTCTTACCCTTTAAACCATCTGCCCGATCTTTCTAAGAAAGTTCCAGAGACTTTTGACTTATCCCAAGTAGTTTTCGATCTCAGTACAACAAACTTAGAGTAGTCGTCGGTGTTAGCAAGTTGCCAGCCACAGAGAGCTTGAGTGTAGGTGCTCATATATATGTCCGCCTGATGAAAGCATACAATCGTTATCCATCCTGCAGTAGCTGCATTTTTACTCCTCAGTTTCGCCCTGGATGCTTGGAGACTAGGCATCAGATGGACCCCTCTGTGAGAAAGGTGACAACAGTCTGTGCTGTGTTAAAACCCAGGCAACTCCATTAAGCTTTGGATTTCCCATTTGTATCTGGTAGCCACTTGGAACACTGACTCATTTTGAACCTTATGGAGCTTGTCAAGCATGACCTGTCTTATGCTTTCCCAAGAATTTACCTGCCTCAGATGAGCTCTTGGGGGCTGGTAGCAGATAGCTTATCATTTTATATATGCAGTGAGCACATCTTTCCAGCAGGAGGTGCAACTATGGAGGGACCGCATGGGATGCTACCCTGACTATTCTGCTGTTATTTCTGCAACAGGAGGATCCACTGATTTCCTGAAGAGAGGACTTCAGGTCACCTTGATCTAAAGTTTGCTGTTTGGTTTTCATTCACTTTTAGGAACTGAGTAGTTTCTCTCTCTCCCTCCCTCCCTCTCCCTCCCTCCCTCCCTCCCTCCCTCCCTCCCTCCCTCCCTCCCTCCCTCCCTCCCTCCCTCTCTCTCTCTCTTTCTCTCTGTGTGTGTGTGTGTGTGTTGTGAGTGTGTGTGTGTGTGTGTTTTTTGCTAAGTCTGTGGAAGGATCTAGAATGTTTCCTATTCACACAACAGATCTTTCCCAAACTCACATACAACTCCTATTCTCTGCACAGAAGCCATGGCCTACTGAGAAGATTTGATTTTATTCTCTTCTCAATTGTGTATATGTGTCTATTAAATGTAGTGTACTTGAACGTATACAGGTGCATGATATATGTGCGTGTTAGTGTATTAGGCCAGAGACTGGTGTTAGTTTCTGCCCTACCTTTGAGTAAGAAGTTTTCCTACTGACCCTGGAGTGTTTCATCTCCACAGAGTGGCTGGACAGCAAGCTTCAGTGATCCTCCTGTCTCCACCTCCCCTCTGCGCAGTGCATGAGTTACAGGCTCACACTGTTGCACCCGGCTCCTACAGGGGTACATGC